AGCTCCTTCCACCACGTCACCTGGCAATCGACGCGCCCCAGAGGCCAGCGCGCTTGGCCTGCGATGGGCAACTGCACCGCGCGAAATGACTGGCGAATCTCGCTGAGGGCGCCTCCGAAGCCCTTCTCCATGTCAGTTTGGCCGACGGGCGCTCCTGGGGACTGCTCTTGAGCGCTTCTGATGGAAACGGATTCTTACGAGATTTCCCCAAGCTTCTCTCCCACCAGACAGGGAAAGGATTGCGCATTGACAACGACGGCGGCGCTGTTGATGATGGTGGTGGCGGTGGCGATGGCGATGATCTTGACGTAGTAAAGAAAGAGACTGAACTGTCTCCTCTGTCTACCCTGTCTACTCAGTTTGTCTGATAAGTCTCCCCGTTCAAATATGTCTACACTGTCTTGTCTGCCCACCCCGTCTGCTCTGTCTACTCAGTCCAATCTGTCTACCACACCTGCGCCGCATGGTCTGCATGCGCTGTCTACGCCGTTTGCTGTCTTCTCTGTATACGCTGCCGATATTTCCCTCGACTGACTATTATACACCGTCTAATTCATCGACTTCACCACCTGCGTTGCCTATTCAATATGTCCTGCATACTCTCCCGGTTCGAGCTGGTCATGTACCTGCCGTTTTCCCTCACCTCACCCATCTCCCCGTGCGTCTATTCATGAATCTCGTTTCTCTGTTTTATATGTTTACTCTGACTGTTAGTTATTTTGCCTACTCGGCGCTCTGGACCCACTCCGCCCACCTTGCCTACAGCCCGCACTTCTCATCATAATGTACCCCAACTCCCCCCTCTACCCAGCCGATAGCCGCCCCATCAAGGACGTCCCATCCCACCCTGCTAAACAAAACCAGAAAGAAAACTCAACGTAGTTCGTCATTTTCTCTCTCAACATGGACGCCCTGCCGCCCACGTCGAGAATCCTGTTTGGAAAAAGCACGCAACATGCATACATGCATACGCGCGCGTCCATGTCAAAACCCTACCAAGCACATCGCGCTTGCAAGCACATCTCATTCCCGTTCCTATATTTAACAAGCCCGAACGGGGGGAAAACCCGTCCCTCCCCCCCCCCAAAAAAAAAACGGGTCCCCGGGATCTGGGGCTTTGGGACCCTCCGGACGGGCCTCGAAGCGGCCCTCCGGGCCTCGCAGGGCGTTTTGCCAAGCCTTCGCAGCACACCCAAGGCGATCAGGGGGGTCACCGGAGACGTCCCAGAGACCCCCAAGACAGCACAAGAGCGCTCCAAGAAACCGTCATACCCCGAAAGATCGCTCCAAAACGTACCAAGAGGCCTCCAAGAGCACCCCCAAACATCATTAACTTTATGGAGGTGTTTTGTGCATTTGGGGTTTTCCTCTTCTCGGCTTCCCGACGCTCCAAGACGGCGATTTCCTGAGCGTCCGAAGCCGCCTGGGAGGTTCCCAAGTCGCCCCGCAACCATCCGAAAGGGCTTCGAGGCAATCCAAGAGAGCCCCAAAACGGCACAACACGGGTCCAAAATGGCCCGAAAAGAGCCCCATAGCGGCCCAAGATGACCCCAAAACACCCTCCGAAACATTCCAAATCGTGACTGGGGCGTTCAGGGAAACCGCGGTTAGAGGCAGGTTGGCCTTAGGAAGCCCCAGAGGTTCCCAGAACACGCCCAGGAAGTTTCCATAAGGCTGTAAGAAAGCCCGAAGACTTTGGTGAGGCCCCGAGAGGCTCTCCAAGGAGGAGCCTCCGCAAAAAGAGCTGAGGAGGATGGGGAGAATGCCCAGGGTATGGCGAGAATGAGGAAAAAGAAACATGGAGGAAGGATAACGAACAACAGTATTACAGAAAAGGCAACAAGGAGTTATCGCTAAATTGTCGGCTTGGCCTTCCTGCCATTTCTGCCTGCGTACCAAACTTCAAGGACCAAGGTGCATGGCGCGAAGCGCCACTGCAATCTTGTATACGTACATATATATATATATGTTACATATATATACATATATAACCATATATAACGCCCAATGTTTTTATCTCAAATCTTCAAGACTCCTGCCCGCGCGCAATTACCAAAATCATGGGACGACCATACGATTTCGTGATTTCGTGAAACGGCCAGCGATGCCATCACGCCGCGCGATGCCCTCGCGATGCTCTGTCATGCAACCAGGGCGCGAATCCCGTGCAACAAATACCACGCGGGCGACAAGCGCGCGCATCACCGCGAGCGCATGTCCAAATCCTCCCAGAGTCGTCGCCATCGGCACCGTCGCTGGCCTTGCCGTCGTTGTCGCCACCATCGCGGGTCACCACCCTCCTCATCATGTCGCCACCGTGGTCGACGTCATCATGCCATCGCGCCCGCCCGAATCACCGACCTCCACCGAAGTGTTCGCGCGCTGGCACGGCCTTTGAGACGCGTCGGGCCAGTTCCCATCGGCCGCCGCAGTCGTGGCCGCAAGAATTATGCCATACCAGCTGGCCGATATGCGCGCGCGATGCGCTTTGCCAGCCAAGTTTCCTGGGGTTTCTTGAAGAGACTCCTGGACCTCCTGGGGGTTCCTGGACGGGTTCCTGGCGTCTCCTGGGCCTTCCTGGGGGGCCTCCTGGAAAAAGACTCGCTGGGGCCTTCAGGGGACTCCTGGGGCCTCCTGAAACATCCTGGGGTTTCATGGGGCCCTCTTGAAGCTTCCTGGGTCCTCTTGGGGCATCCTTGAATCGTGCTGAAATGCCCGCGCAGCCTTTGAGACAAGCTGGGGAATTCCCATCAACAACCGCTGTCGCGGCCGTATCAGCTGTGCCAAACCAGCTCGCCGATGTGATCTCGGTTCCGGGTTGTGCCTGCACTGCTTCTTATGTTGAGGGAGGGCGGGTGGGAATGGGCATGCCATGCATGTCTCGCTCGAGCTGACTCACTTGACTAGTAGTCCTACTCCTACTCCTATTCCTACTGCAACACCGCCTCCGACCGCTACTCCTACTCCTACTCCTACTCCTGCTCCAGCTCGTTGATCCTGCTCCTCTTAGTCATATTCCTCCTCCTCCTCCTCCTCCTCCTCCTCCTCCTCCTCCTCCTCCTCCTCCTTCTATCATCCTCGTTATCCTCCTCACCCCCCTCCCCTCCTTCAGCCTGCCCCCTCACCCAATTGACTCTCATGGGCATCGTTTTTGGATCGGCCGGTAGGGATATATTTGTTCGTCGCGGCCGCAAGCGAGAGCGCAGGAGGCGTCCCAAAGGTCGTGCGGGCTACGCGCGAGCCTAATTACACAGCGACCGAGCGCGGGGTGCTGGTAGGGGATATGTTTTTTAGTCAGCGGCCCCAAGACGAGCGTCAGGAGGCGAAGGCGACGTCCGGGCCACGGGCGCGGCTAATTTGCCAGACAGTGCGCTGCCAGCCAAAACTGGCGGCAGACTGCTAGCACGGGCTCGCGCACTGAACAAAATGACCAGAATTCGAGAGGCCGACGCACGAAGGCGCAGTAACCCTTACCACAGTGGGCAGGTCGCTGTGCCCGGTGAAAGAAGGCCCCGAAGTGAGTCGCCGATGTGGCGCCAGACTTCAGCGGTCGACCTGCGCAAGCCAGCCGGCTGAGCGGTCCAGAACAGTAAACAACGCGCGACAGCTGAAAAGGGGTCGAAGGCTGTACAGGCGTTGAAGGCTGTACCACTCAGCGCCCAGCCAGTCTCAGAGGTCCGCATCACAGTGTCGGGGGGGAGCCGTGAGCCGTGCGACTGGGAACGAACCGCGCGCGCCTGCACGGTGCGGCCACAGGGTGTGAGGGAGCCCGCTGGCGTGGTGAGCATCGCCGACGGTGAAGAGGATAAAAGGGGGGGGGCTGCACGAGTGGTGATGGTGCCGACTGCGTTGCCTGAAGCGAGGCGCCAGGGGGAGCTGCACTGCAGTAGGCGCTGGGAGCAGAAACCAGCCACACCCGGACCGCCGCATGGCACTTCCCCAAGGCCATTGCGCTCACACACACCACGAGTCCTTCCTAGGCCGTAGTACCGTCGCTGAGGGTGATGAGCTGGACCACGAGCAGCGCGGAACGGCAGGCCCAGGGGGGGGGGGGCGGCCACACCGACGCAAGTGAGGCGCCAGGCGGGCCTCGGGGCCAAGGGCGGGGGGCACCCACCGGGCCCGGGAGGGGAGAGGCGAGGGGACGCAACGCCTCTCCCCTCCCGAACCTTCTGCCGATTGGATGAATGAATCTGGCATCGGGTGTGCAAAACCAGGGCCGCGAGCTGTCTTGAAGTGACTCCGAAACTTCGATGCAACGATTGCAAAAAATGGTGAGCACAGGCCAAGATTACCAAATGCCCGCAGCCACAGCACCTGTAGTTGCCAAATCCTTGCGTGACTATGCCTTGCCACTCTGTACCCTCGAAATGAAGAAAGGAGGCGCCGTGTGGACGAATCCGAACCAAGGCGGTGGAGACGTAGGGGAAAATTCCTGTTCCGTGGCCAGAGCAGGCAGTACCCTGAGAGGGTCACCCCAAACGCCCTCTTCGACCGCTTTTCCCTCGCTTCGCCTTCCTCTTGCCTACTCTTCCCACTCCCCCCCCCGGCCGAGGTGTGAGACACATCAAGACCCCATCGATACTAGAAGGTGAACTTGTAACCAACTGAGCAGCCCCCCATACCCGAAGCGCAACCATGTGCATGCGCATGCAACCTGCCATTCCCTGGAGGAGACGGTCAGCCCGCAAAACAGACGGGCAGACCCTGGCCAGTCTGATCCACAGCCTGACATTGACAACACGTCACTGAGCCTACTGCTGTCCTAGCACGCGCTTGTGTTTGCACTGACTTTGAACCGACGCTGTTCACCCTAACGACCCTACATCAGGTGTGGGATAGCACGACTGGGCAGGTGGGGTAAGCTCGCGTGGAGGTGCACTCCCGTCGCTCCACCAGGCACCCTGCTGAGATCAAGCTTCAGTCACTGTATCCACTGCTCCAGTCATCCAACATGCCTCAAATTCGTGCCACTGCCACTTGTCACAAAACACTTTTTTCGCGCGAACGAACAGGGCGACGTTACCGACTACACTCAGCCGCGTCCCTTCACACCGAAATACGGCGCTTGCAAAGCAAATCTTACTCTGAGGGCGGAGGTTATCATACAAATATTGGCAGAAGGAACGATGATAGGAACTCATCAAAAAGAGACTGGGTATGCCGGGGAGATGGTCAGATGGTGATTAATGCGCGCAACGAACTTCATAGCCGCATACTGCGGAGCCCGTCTGTCCAGCCACACATGCCAGGTCGGAGAAGCAGTGCATGCACACGACGGGGGCTCCTCGAAATAGGTGTGAGGATTCCATTGCATACCGCCGCGCTAACGAATGCTGGAGATGCATCTCGTGGCATGACTGTGGGACTGGATTGTCTGCGGGGGGTCTTCCCAATCGATGCCTAGAGGCTCTTCTTCGTAAGCCGCCAGAGGAATGTTGCCCCAGAGCGTCCCCGTTGCCTCCGGGAGCTGCTGGCGAGCCTCCCCCAAAGAGGGTGCCTCACGAACGAAGAGAACTGGTAGCGACGACTGACCAGTATAGCGGATTGCTGCAAAGTCGTGTTCCTGCTAAGTGAGCTTCTGTTCTGCTAAGTGCGCTTCCGATGTGCTTGATCCTGTTGCCAGCCCCGCCTTCTGCTACTGGTGTTGCACTGTAGCTCATGTCAAGTTGCATGGGGAGCTCTTGAAAACAACTCCTCCCCCTCCTCCTCCTCCTCCCCCTCCTCCTCCTCCTCCTCCTCCTCTTCCTGCTCTCCCTCCTCCTCCTCCTCCTCTTCCTCCTCCTCCTCCTCGTGCTCCTTCCCTCCCTCTCGTTATCTGGCATCCCCCACAGCGGAAGCCTATGGTTCATGCCCAACTGCACTTGCATGTGGCATGCGCATTGTACTCGCATGGAGTGCCATTGCATTGTAGTGCACGGCAGGCATTGCATTACGACGCATGGGATTGTTTTTCTGTTGCATCACTCCCCATTGCGCTGCCTCACCTTGCGTTGAGAGATTATGTCAACTTTGGGCTCCGAGTTGCCAGTGGCAAGGTGGCCTGGCCAATTTAGGCTTGGGATCTCTTCGCAACTGTGGGATCCAAGATGCAACGCGCGAAGTGGTCTGGTCCGTTTCACCTGAGACATCCTCGCAAATCTGGGCTCGAAGATGCCCCACAACCTGAGGAGGTGCAGCCCGTTTCGCCTTCGACATCCTCGCATCTCTGGGCTAAGACATGCCGCGCGCAAGGTGATCAGGCCAATTTTGCCTCAGACGTTCTCGCCTGAGACATCCTCCCAACTCTGCGAGATGCTGCGCGCAAGGTGGTTTGGCCAATTTCGCCTGAGACATATTCGCAACTCTGGGCTCCTGGATGCCGCGCGCGAAGGGGCGTGGCCGGAGTCGCCTGAGGATCCTTGCAACTCCGGGCTCAGACGTGTCCTGGCTTGATGTGGTCCCTCCCAATTCGCCTCAGACATCCTTGCAACTCTCGGCTCAGAGATACCGCGAGGTAGACTGGCCCAGTAATCGCCAAAGGCATCGTCGCAACCCTCGGATCGGAGACGCTCCGACCTGAGTTGGTCCAACCTGATTCACAAAGGACTTCCTCGCAACTCTGGGCCCAAAAATGCCCTGTCCTGAAGTGGTCCGGCCCAGCTCGCCCGGGGCATTCTCGCAACTCGGAGATCCGAGAGGCCAGGCGCGAGGTAGTCCAGTCCAGCCAAACTCGCCTGAGACATCTTCGCAACTCTGGTTCTGAGATACCGCGCGCGAAGACGTCTGACTAATTTTGCCTGCAACATGTAATCAACTCTGGGCTCCAAGATGTCGCGCGCGGTCTCAGAGAGATACTCTGACCTGAGGTGGTTTAGCCCGCTTCGCATGAAACATCGTCGCAACACCATGTTCAGAGATGCCGCGCGCGAGGTGGTCGGGCCCGTCACGCCTGAAACATCCTCGCAATGTTGGTATAAGAACTGTTGTGGCCTGAGGTGGTCTGGCCCAAATCGCTCGAGAGACCCTCGCAAACATGGGCTCGAAGCTGCGACGCGCGAGGTTGTGCGTTCTGGCTTGCCTGAAACATCCTCGCAACTCTGGGTTCCGTAATGCTCCTGATTTGAGGTGGTCTGGCCAGTTTCGCCTGAGACATCTTCGCAACTCTGGGCTCAGACATGCCGCGCCGGAGCTCGTTTGGCCAATTTCGCCTGACGCACCCCCGCAACTCCAGGCTCAGAGACGATGCGCTCGAGGTACTCTGGCCAGATTTGCCTGATCCATCGTCGCAACTCTGGGCTCCAAGACGCCGCGCGTGAGATGGTCGAGCCAATTTCGCTTGGAACCTCCTCGCAACTCTGGGTTCCGACATGCCGCGCGCGAGGTATTCCGGTCAATTTTGCCTGAGACCTTCTCACACTTCGGCTCCGGGAGGTAGGAAAAAAAGGGGTCAGACATGGCCGAACCAACCCTACCTGTCACATTACATTTCTGATATCGAATTGCGCCCGAGGATGGGCCCAGGCGCCTCTGCCCCGAAGGGGCAGTTAGCCAGCGCCCAGGCGAAGGCATCATTTCTGAATCATGTGAAATCTGAGGCCCGGGAGGCGCCGCGCCTTAGTGCATGTTGAAATTTCCAACGAGAGGCGAAATTGAAGAGCGAGGAGGAGAGCCTGGAAAGTGAGGGCGGGCCAAAACCAAGAGGGGCATCACGAGCACGACGACGAGAACGAGTATAAGAGAAGGAGGAAGAAGAAAGACGAGGAGAAAGAGGAACGGGATGAGGGGGGGAACTAATGGAGCGGGAAAGGAGGGGGAGGATAAGGAGAAGGCAGAGGAGGAGAAGGAGGAGGAGGAGGAGGTGCGGGAGGGGGATTGGACGACAAACGTGGTAACCGAGGCAACTCCAGCAATGACGACGACAGCGACGACGAAAAGAGCGCGGGCAAATCAGGGGCGGAAGGATGCACTTTGCACATTGCACCGTGCCCGCAAGGTCTCCCCTGCGCCTGAGGCGGCACGTCAAGCCGCTGAAATAAACGTTATGCAAAAGCGCCTCGCGTGAGGCACGGGAAGTTGAGGTCAGCGCAGCTGGCGTGCGAGCGAGCGAACGCGAGCGAGCCTTTCTACCTTGCTGCGCTGGCCTGCACCCGCGAACCAATCGGAATCGAGCAGCCGGGCGAGGTCCATCTCCCATCGCCAGGCCTTGAACTTGCAGCCATGCGTATGGGATCCGTGCTCGCGTTTCATTATCTGGAGCCAGGCCATGCTGCGCCACTGTAGCAGATGGACAGGCACAAGCTGGGCGGGCGTGGCGTCTGGCAGGGCGGCCTGGCGGACTAAGTGTCCAGCTCAGGTCAACCTGCGAAGATTCACGTCTAAGTCTCATGTCGTGTGGGACTGGGAAGCAGCAGAGACGCGGCGCCATCGGCGGCGACAGAATGCCTCTGGCGTCTCCTCCTTCCACCGCTGCGTGCAAATCAGCTGAGAGAGCATGCTGCGGTGCATGACTCGAACTAGATTGAGATCCTTGACCGAGGGGCACCACGATCCTGACCCATAGAGCAAGACAAGTTTGATTGCTCGCTCGAGCAGCTTCGCGGCCTGCTGCCAGCGGCAGACGCGTCCAGGTAGAGACATCTTGGGAGCGCAGAAGGCTCTCCAGGCGCGAGCTACCCTGTGCTGCGTGTCCTTCCAAGACCTTCCATCGAAGGTGAACATAAAGCCGAGGCAAAGAAAACCCTCGGCACGAGGCGCGCTCGTCAGAACGCCGTCCTCGACCCTCATCTGGTAGTCGCCAAACTCGCGGTCCAGCGCCGTCGTGCCCCAGGTCAAACCCGAGGGAGGCGCGCGCCAGCCTCGAGCTCGCAGGGCGCGCCGCCAGGCCATGGCCACCTGCCGCGGCGACTTGGCCGCGCCCGCAAACAGCCAGAAGTTGTCGGCGCAGGGAAGTCCCGCCTAGTACAGTGCCGCCTCGCCTGGGAACTCGTAGCCCCGGTTGTGTGTCCAGCATTCGCCAGGGAACTCCTCCCAGGCATCCTCCAGCACTAGATTGAAGAGCATCGTGATGGCTGGATCTCCTCGTCGAATGCCGCGAGTCCGAGGTGCTGGTTGCGTCTGGATCGGGCCCATCTTGATCACCGCCGAGGCCATCAGCTCCCTCATGATGGCTAGGACCACGGGCCTTGGCACAGCCCTTCTTCTCAGTGTCTCCTCAACCGAGCGGTGCGAGACGCGTCCGAATGCCGCCTCGACATCGCCGTCCATGATGAAGACGGGTCGGTTCCACTCGCGGGCCTTTCCCGCCAGCATGCGCATGCTGAAGATCACCTCCATCGCTTGGTGGAACCTCCGGCAGGCGCACTGCGCGCTCTGCAGGGTCAACTTGTTGGCGCACTTCTTGGCCAGGCCAACCGAGTAAAGCTTCTCGAAGGTAGTCAGGAGCGTGATCGGCCTGCACCCTTGAGCGCGTGCTTGTCTCCCTTCTACTTCGTGAGCTGGATGATGTGCTTCGACCAGGCTTGGCCCCATGGCATGCTCGGGCACCCCGCGGAAGCGGTTCTCGAAGAGGGCCGCGAGCGAGGCGAAGAAGCCCGAGTCGAGGGCCTGCAGGACCTCGGCGGCCACCCCGTCCACGCCAGGCGACATCATGGCCCCCATGTCGCACAGAGCCTCGCGGGGCATCTCAGGCGCGGGATATCGAGTGCATCCTCCGTCGTGAGGAGGGCGAGGTAGGCAGAGACCCCGACGGGCCCCTCCCCGTCGCCGGCCACGACGGCGCTGCCGTACTCGCGCTCCAGGAGCTCTCCTTGATCCGCAGCGGGTCGTCCTCGATCTCCCCCTCCGCGTTCATCGGCTGGTTGTGGATCGGGCCAGGCTGAGCTCGGCGAGGCGCTCGTACTCGGGGATTGCCGGCCGCTTGGAGGCAGCGCTGCAGGGCCCTGTTCGCGGCCCAGATCTCCCTGCGGATCCTGATGGTATCCCTTCTGTAGATCGCGCGCTGAACGCGGTCGCGGGAGACCCGCCGACGCGCCCCAAAAACCCGCAGCATCTGCATGAGCTCGCGGCCCTCGGGGAGCTGGGGAACCACCCTCGCGGGCGGGCCCCTGCCACGGGCAGCGGCAGCCAGGTGCGCTGCGTCCGTCACGGAAGTAATCGGCGCTGGGTTGCGGTCAGCGTTGCAGGCGCCGCGGCCCCAGCGCTGGACGCGGTTGTCGAGGCAGGCCCAGCCCTTCATAGGCGCGCGACCTCCGTTCCAGATATAGCGCCTCCTGGTGCCAAGGGTGAACTCCAGCTTGATGGCCGAGGTGGTCGGGTTGCGCGCTGTCGGCGATATCCTCGAGCGCG